TTTTTCTGATAATTTTGTGTATGCCGCTCGCAGTGGCCTAAAAAGTCTTCTTATCCCATCTAACGCTGCATATTTTATCTGGAAATATCCGGAGGCGTATAAATTTTTAAAACAAATACGACATTTTGCCGGGGAGAAGAACACACATGTTGAGCAAAGGCATTACGGAGTACGTGAGAGTTTTATTGCAACCAGGGCGTGTGTGTTTTGTATATATTTCCGACATCAGGTGTCTGAGTGCATGTTTTTGGGTTCATGATATTGATATTCCGTGCAACAAAAGTTGCTAGTTTTAACTGTTTCCTTTTAAAAGGAAACAGTTTATTTGCGAAAGTTATAATTAAAAAAGTTTGTGACATAGTTTTGTAGGATTTTATATAAGAGTTATTGTCAAATGTATAGTTCCTTTTATAGAAACAGTTATTAAAACAAAAGCACTTACAAACGAAATTCCCTAACAAATTGAATTTCGCTCGAAAACTGATGAACTAACATTTCATCTTTCTTGCGGAAAGTTGCTTTCGTTGTCACTCTCGTCGCCAGAAACTTTTTTAATTACAACTTTGCAACCGGAGAGTGGAAATAAAGCCCTTTTGCCAGTTAAAAGAACCGACGATGCCTCTTTTTCTCCCGAACAAAATAAAATTTTTCTTTTACGAATTATAATTTATCTCTCGAAGCTCGCAACAATAATAAATCAAACAATTTGCTTCAAATTCAACTTGGCATGTCAGTTTCAATGGAGCACGTATTCCATGACAAACGGTCATAGATCATCTTGCCTGTCGCTGAAAACTGCGTCTTACTTTTGTTTTCTAGATGTATGGGCGTTTTATTAAATAATATCTATGTGGTTTTGATTGTTGCGTTAACACGGACTTCCAATTAAAATTTATAACAACCCCGAGGGCATTGGAGGACTAATTGGCAAAGTTTTCGTCCGGGCATTATCAATTCGCAAAGGCCCACATCACAAACGTGCCCGGAAAATTTCGGAATAATTGAACATTGTTTTGTAGGATAAGTTATCAATTCTTGAGTAAAATAATCGCAGGCAAAAAAAAACAATTCGTATTTTGAGTCACGTCCGTATGGAACGTTGGGCCTCCGGCTGCCATTTAATTGAAATAAAAGAAAGGAGCAAATGGCTCCTGCGGGAAACAGCGTGTCCATTTTCACGAAAATGGGGAATTTGTTGCACACAACTTTTTACGTTCGAAATAAAAGAGTGTGCGAACTGGAGCGCGTTAGAAACTTTTCTTTCGAATTAGTTTTGAATTGTCAAGATCTGATGCATGTATGGAGTTAAGTGGGACGCAAAATCTCAACATAAAAAAATTCAAGGTAGCTAAGGTTTCTTCTTCCAACTTTTGAAAAATTAACGCACTATAGGTTTTTATATTTCACTTCAATGAATGATGAAGATTTCAAGAGGAAAACCACTTGGGAATAAGTTTTAAACTTTGCTAAAGGAAGTGCAGAGGAAGTGGGAGAATTCTGAAGGAAGTTTCTGAAAATTCGGCGAAGTACAAGGAAGTTCAAATAGTGAAAGATTTTTTTTTCAAATACTCAAACCTCAAAACAAGAAATACCAAATCACAAAGAACTTTCTAATTCATAAATTTGATTAACCGTCTATATGAAAGAATGAAAAGAAGTACAGGGGAGTTTATAGAAATTTGAAGAATTTTACAGGAAATTATTAAGAAATTCCGAGGAAGTTGAAGGAATGACAAAAAAAAGTCAAGCTATTTTAGCAATTACTACTACTATTGGTTTTTGTATTTCACTTTAATGAATGATAAAGATTTCAAGAGGAAAACCACCTGGGAATAAGTTTTAAACTTTGCTAAAGGAAGTGCAGAGAAAGTGGGAGAATTCTGAAGGAAGTTTCTGAAAACTCGGCGAAGTTCAAGGAAGTTCAAATAGTGAAAGATTTTTTTTTAAATACTCAAACCCAAAAAAAATAAATACCAAATCACAAAGAACTTTCTAATTCATAAATTTGATTAACCGTCTATATGGAAGAACGAAAAGAAGTACAGGGGAGTTTAGAGAAATTTGAAGAATTTTACAGGAATTTATAAAGAAATTCCGAGGGGCCCGTGGGCAAACAGTAAATATTAAATGCACTAGTCTTTCGCGTCATGTTTCGCAAAATTTCAGCTGAACAATTTAACCTATTTTTAACAAAAAACCTTTTAAAACACAGTGGCATGACCGGTTGTAGCGACACCTAGCGGTTGTCCTACTTCATTCTGCAAGCATGCATCAGATAATTGTTACAGGTTAAAACGATTTGAATATTAAAAAAATCGATTCTCCTACGTTTTTTACGTAAAAAAGGTGTACTTTGTTCAAGTCTCTAGAGGTAACCGTTTCCGAAATAACCTTAATTGAAATTTCCAATGCAACGGATTTAATGTAAAAATTTACACGAAAAAATTATTAAAATTAATGAGAAAATTCAATAGGTAAGCTTTTACACATGAATCAAGTTTTGCCACTATCAGTTTAACATCAAAGGTTCGCCAAATTGATTATGTTTATATGTGCCGTAGGTGGCGCCCCCTAGTAGTGATATCAAAACCGTGAATGAATTTGTATTTCTCGTCCTAACAAACCCCCCGATACGTAATTTCGCACCGCTGTGTTGGTTTATTGAGGAATAGTTGACAAAAATCGAAAATAAAAGGAAAACTTTGACACCTTCTATCTTGAAAACTAAGCACTTTAAGGTTGCATATTCCTATCTCAATTTTCATGAAAATACGAGGTCTGTCACCTGTCAAGCGTTGTCGGTTGAATATCCAGACACCCTGTATATTACCTTTATTATATGAAATTTACCATTCAGGTTATGTACTATTAGGTACTTCAATTTTAAGTATTTACCTATACCATCTATATTCTTCCATAATATTAAATTTGCCCCTCAGGCTATGTATTGTTACTTCAACTTTAATTATTGATCTATATTTCTCTAATAACTATCCCATAAATACATGCTGCACTGAATACAGGAAATACTTGTACACTGGGGTTAAATGGCCATTTACGAAGGTACTGCATTTAGTAAGCTTATTTATTAATTTATATTTCAGGTATTATTGCTGTTAATTGTTATACAATACTCTATTTCTTTATGTAGGGTAGTTGAGTGTAATTAATAATTATTGTAAATACTATTTTAAGAACATATGGTTAGGTACTCCGAGACGATTTCTTTTCTTGTTCTGGTTCCAGTGTGAATAATTTTCAGTGTTCTAGGGCGGTCGGAAAACCCACTCCGAACATGCTCTGGAGTCAAACCTGTTCTGTTCTGGTTCTAATTAAAAACCCGTACCATCGTCACCAAAAGTAACTGGGACAGCATCACATTAGCTCTTGTCCTATTGTATGAATTTTATTGTCAAATATTTGTCAAACTATGAGGTCCAGGAGATTATTATACATTGTTTGTGTCCCAGATACTTTTGGTGACGATTTTCGTTATATCGGTTGATTTCGTGTACTACAGGGAAAAGCAGGTGGCGCTCTATCTTTAGTTATTTAATTAACCCACACCCCTCTCCGCATTGGAAGCTAGTCGGCAACCCTTCACACGAAGTCACGTTTCTAGATTTCAGCCACCAACCAAGTCTCTCTTTCTCTATTTATTTATTTTCTTTTTGTTCTAGTTACCCATTCACTATCTCACTTCCTCAAAGTTTATTATTTGCATCTCCCTCGCGTTTTGCGGGTAACAAATTCGCAGTGTCCGTGTCTCCACGTAACACTACTACTACAGGATAGCCTATCCTCATAAGGTCTGTGTGGAACAAATCCCCTCTTTCCCCTCCATGCCAAATGATCAGTTGTGACGTAGGCTGCATGTTATTTTTCGCCTTAACGTAGGCTGTTTAAACAGTTGATAGCTTGGTTATGACATCGGAAACGATGACACACCAATATGGCGGCGATTACTAAAAACAAGGCCGATAAGTAATTCTATAGGTGTGTATCATCCTTGACACACTTCTACAGCATATCCTCATGAGGACTGTGTAGAATAAATCCGAGGTTATACGAGCCCAGAGGGCCGGAGTTTTATGAGCCCAAAGGGCCGTAGTTATTTTAATCACGAGCCCGAAGGGCTGAAGCCCAGTTTATAAACTATAACTCTACTAATTGAATGGTACCAACTACTCAAGGAAGACACCTACATGATTGCTTATCGACCTCGTTTTTGGTAATTGCCACCATATTATTGGTGTGTCACTGTTTCCGACGTCATAAGTGAGTTGTCAGACCGATAAACAATCTTGTAGGTATGTATCATCCTTGGGTAGTTAGTACCATTCAATAAGTAAAATAATAGACTATAGACTGGGCTCCGGCCCTTCGGGCTCGTGATTGAAATAATTCCGGCCCTTCGGGCTCGTATAACTCCGGCCCTTCGGGCTCGTATAACTCCGGCCCTTCGGGCTCGTATAACTCCGGCCCTTCGGGCTCGTATAACTCCGGCCCTTCGGCCTCGTATAACTCCGGCCCTTCGGGCTCGTATTACTTCGGCCCTTTGGGCCGGAGTTATTTTAATCATGAGTCGTCAGCTGTTTAAGCAGCCTACGTCAAGGCGAGAAATAATATGCTCCCTACGTTACAACTGGTGATTTGGCGAGGTGGGGATTTGCTACACACTTTTTTGGGATGATTTATCAATTTTTCAATTTTTCAATTTTTCTGAGTGTTTTTTTCCATAGAATCCGACTCCGAATCACAGAATTATTCACTATATGGAGTTTGGGGGATTCCAAACGTCCATTAAGACACAAAATCTTAGAAAAAAAATTTGAAAATTTCATCGTTTTGATACTGAGGTAGCTACCTTATGATTTAGATTTTGGAAAACTTTGAAAGGTTCTAACTTTTTTTCTATTATAGATAGAAAGCTAAAATTTTCAGCGATTCTTATTCGAATATGGGATTACAATCTCTGAAAATTTCAGCTCATTCGGACTTATAGTCAATTCTTTGACGTCAAGTAAATATTTATTAAATCAAAAATACTTATAATAATTTCTTCTTTTTTCCTCCACAACACGTTCGTACAATCAGCAAACCAATTTTCCTAGCCGCATACAATAAAGCCAAGATTCCGATAAGTAAACATCCGATTACGTCCAAGAGTAGGTACTGATAAAACGGCATTTCGATAGCTTCGGATCGCAAATGTTTGGCCCCTTTGTGCCTGGCCACGTGCTCGATCCAGTAAACCGAACTTTCCAGGGGCGAAACTAATCGGTCTCGGAACCGATTCGAAAGCTCTTTGGCTTTTTGTCTTGTGCTGCAATAGAAAACCTGTAAACAATGATTGCAACTTGATAATGAACCCTTACACTTTGCTAAGTGCTTTGGTTAAAGCTTCAGTTATAGTTTCTTCTGTGGCATCAAGTAGTTTTAATATAACACCGGCCCCTTGTTTTTCTAGAAGTTTCGCGTTCATTCGCTGATCTCCAAATTGAGGCATCACTATTACAGGCACGCCGCAATGAATAGCTTCGGTGGTTCCCAAAAGACCTCCGTGCGAAATGAACAGGACAGTATTTGGGTGACCTTTTAAGTTTTCGTTTATTTTAAAATAAAATCACGTAATCTCAACTTACATAAAACATCGTACTGCGGAGCCCACTCAGTTAACATAATATTATCGGGCTTGTCTTTCATCGTCTGTTCCTCCCATTTCCACAAAACCCTTTGAGGCAGTTTAGAAAATACCTTCATAAAGGCCCCTAGCTGACCTTCCGGAAAAGTATGCCCTTTGATAAGAGAGCCTAAACTAAAGTAGATTAGGCCTGAGGTCGACTCGTTTGTCCATCGTTCCACGTCCTAGAAATTTAAATGCGGCGAGGGGATTAAATTATAAAATCCGATTTGTACAATAAAGCCGATTAAATGATAAATGGAAATTTCGCTTTGCTTACCTCAGGCAGTTTTTTCGGTTTTTTGTTGGTTACGTGTAGGCCGCCGACTTCAACAATGGCGGGAGTTAGGGGTTGGACTCCGTGCAATGTGTAGTGGGTGTTTACCAGCAGTAAACTAGCCTGATGAGGATCAGCCGGTTCAAAACCTGTATATTTCAAGGAGTATTCTCTTCCAGGTTGTTCCATATAGGTTTTATACCAAAAGATGTTTACTAGAAATGTGTACTATTGTAATAACTTGCAACATTGCATTATACAGACTACTAGACACATATAGATTTCATTCAGTATTTGATGAATGTGATAATAACAATGAATGCTAATGTAAATCCTAATGAAACAACTGACTGTGTAAGAAAAGTGAGTTGAAGAATCTCACCTAAATGCATCAAGGTGTTCTCCATTCGCTGTAGAAAACTCATTGGTGCAGGATAAGCCATATAAATCGAATTCACATACGCTGGATTGTCCGGAGCCCCGAACCATCGTGGGTGCCAGTGCATCATTGCACAAGAGCTCAAGCCTAAATCCTAATAATTAGTCCTAAACAAACTTCAATGTACAATTCCTTACCGATAAATGGAGCCTTGTACTTCGTAATTAGGCCGTACAAGCAGTTTGAATTGAAAAATTCAGCCAGAATTACATCGAAGTGCTGGTCTTCTTGCAAAAACTTTTGCAATTCTTCGCTTTGCAGCGAAGAATTGCAAGCGAAGTCTGAGAAATAAGCGAGAAATGCTACTTCAGTGTAACGTTGCAAGTGGCTCTGTGTAAAATGTTTTAGATCCAGGTGGTTCACTAATGGTACATTAGACAATAGTACATCTCTACTATTCTTTATGTCGCCTAAAATGAAATAGTTATTTACATTACAAGTACGTTTATAAACATGATTGCAAGGAGGATAAATATCCGAGTGTGTTGAAATGTGCATTTTCAAATTAAACTTTTCTTTAAATTTTGCATTGCAAATGTCACATTCAAATAAATATTCATCCGAATGTGTTCGTTTGTGAATCTTCAAATCCCTTTTCCGTTTAAATTTTGCTTTGCAAGTGTCACATTCAAATGGATTAATATACGAATGTGTTAGTTTGTGAATCTTCAAAATGCCTTTCCGTTTAAATTTTGCATTGCAAATGTCACATTCAAATGGAAAAATATCTGAATGTGTTAGTTTGTGTTTCCTCAAATAGTCTTTTGCTTTAAATTTTGCTCTGCAAATGTCACATTAGAATGTACCTGCTAGGTCACAACCAGACACATAGCAGTTGGTCCATAATTTGGCCCTTACAGGTTTAACTTTGACATTTGTCAAATCACCAGAAGTTGTTGTGTTATGAATTCATATCCTAGTCCATAACATCACTATTTGTATTATGAATTCATAACCTAGCCCATAACACTACTGTTCTGTTATGAGTCTTATGACATAACTAAAATACTAGAAAAATGGTTATGTAAAAACGACATAACTAAACGCTTGTAGATAAAATCCAATTATTGAAACATTAGTTTATTTACCTTGAGTTTTCACATGACTAAGTATAGTGATATTGTGTCCTCGTTCGCCCAACTCTTGAAATAGCGGCTTGAAAACATCGTAATGACTTTTTCCCATGTGCCCAAACAACACGAGAATATTGTAGCTTGCCGCATGTTGCACAAACAATAAAAACGTAATACCATAGACCGCCCACATCATCTTGTTTTACAATATTATTGAATCACTTAAAATCTCAAGCATGTTTATAGAATAACCTTGAAGCCAGTAATCGTAGATAAGTAAAGCAGACTATGAACTTATACAGCCTTGGATTAATTTTGTTTATAAACATCATCCTTCTTTACATATTTTTGCTATAGCAGCAGGAGGCTCTAGTTCCTTGATGTAAAAATTAAAAAGTGATGAGAATTTAATATCCTCTCTTCCTAAGGAAATTCATATTGTGCTGCGTTGCCAGGCTGCCAAGCAGGGGGTTTAGTATATTGAAATTTTGTTGCCGGCAACAAGTTTTTTAATTTAAGTTTCCGGTGTCACATATTTCCATTAATTCGGCCCCCAGTTTTCCCATGGCTACCTTATTTACGAGCGACCAGGCTTGTTTCGGGTAGATTGGATGGAAAATATTTCATGAGGAATGCGGTCATGATTTATGTCCCCTAATGAAGCCTCTTGTTTGATGAATTTTTGATTATTTGCCCTCTAGTGACAATCTTATTTCGGGCAATTAGCTTTCAAGTTGCATATTTGGGTTAGTGGATGAAATATTCAACGGTATCTGACTGGAGGATTGGTAACTTTTCAGATAAAACTTTTGGAAATTAACCTTATTGTTGGGTAATTGAGTTTTTTGCACGCGACAAAGTATTACTTTGCGCACTTCTTAGGAAAATAACCATAACAATATCCTGTTTACCGATAGGTAGCGAAAGTAGTGAAAAAATAAATCCTCACTCAAGTAGGCCATTATACACTCCCAAGAGACAGCACTCTTTGATAATTTGAAAATGAAGCCAGTATATGACTTTCTGTCATTTACATTACATGCAAAATCAGCATCAACTAAATTATTCTCAGATCACTGAATCTGGAATTTCTTCAGTTCTATAGAACAAGTTTCAGCTACAGCCAAATAGCTAACAAAATCTTGAAATATTTTCAGTTTTCTTTCTGATTTCTCAAAAGTTTCTGATGTGTCGATTTCTGGAGTTTTAAAATTTTTAAGAACATAAATTTCGGCACTAATATCATCTTCTACTATGAAGATATTTCTTCTGCTGAATCCCACTCGGAATTTACCTAGTGTAAGGATTAGTTGTTTCATGGAGTATGCCCTGTTTTCTTAAAAAAACATTCAAACTCAGTACTAACATATTCTTCATCATTGTGGAAAGTATATTAGTACTTAAATTTAAAGCTCTTGTAATATAATATGAGTTTGTAAATATTATATTCGCTCTCTAATTTAGTTCAGTATTACTTTTCACTTTTGTACCATCGATCCTATTGGGATCTGGATTTTACGATCAAAATAAATCGACACAAAATGGACTTTGGGTCGCACGGGAATCCAACTCTCAATGTACCCGTTCCAGAGTTGAATTTAATGGGAAATTTTTCTTATTAAGTTAATGCACATAATTCGTTTACTTTTAATTAAATTGTTTTAATATTGTCGTATCGGTTAATTAAACCCAATCGTTCATGGGTTTCAGAAAAATCATTGATCAGGTCACGTTTAAATAACATTCGGTTGCAACTTGACTGAAACCAGGAACCTGAACCCATGGAAGGTCAATGTCAACGACGGATCACCGGTAATTGTTATAATCAGCGGTCACATCTCCAAATTCTGCTATCAGATATTTCTTGAATCTCCCCAACCCTGTGAGCTTCAAATTGTCCAAGTTTTATGTCATCTCTTTTAATTCATTGCAAAACAGTAGTCGAATCAGTCCACATGTAAATTTGGTGAATATTGATGTTCAAGGCACAAGCAATCTGCTTCCCAGTACCGCGGCTTGCAATTCCAGTCTTAGAATGGAAATCGCTTTGATTGGAGAAACCCTTGCTCTGGCCATAACAAGATGTCAATTATTTCTTTGGTAATTACTCGTAGGTAAATAGCACATGCAAATGCTTTTTTACTTGCATTACAGAATACGTGTAACTAACTGTGATGCCACCCGGCGGACTATTGAAGGCCTACATATGGCGCATCTATTCCTATAAAGTTTAGCCTTTTAAGTTACCGACTCCGGTCTTACTTGCTTAATCCATAAGGCGATTATTTATCCATTTATCACTATTCGCACTCGCAGCTAGGGAATTTTCCACTGGGATGAAAAGAAAACACAATGATATACAGGTGCATTGGAGCCTGTCGAGAGTAAGGGAGATAGAGCCAAAAACAGGCGTATGAGAGAATTTTGCTCGTCGGAATCAATAATATAGATCATGTCAGGCCTTGAGGCACAGAGAGTAGTATTTTACTTTAAATCGTGCGTACTAACGGGGGTTTTTGCCTCTGGAGAGCATTCAGAGGGCGCGAGGGTGCGAACTCTTCGCTTAATCTAATAGTACTGACTAATGCGCGTCGACTAGTTCTGCTAGGGAGCAGGTCACAAAAAAACTAGGGATGTTTTGTGGCGGCTGACCAATCACAGCCGCGAGGGGTTCACTGCCTTATAAGGTAATGAAGAAACCTGTAATTTTACCGGTTCAAGGGGTTGTTGTTGCCGGTTTTACAGGCATCTTTTTTTAGAATATTATTTTTATGATAAATAATAGAGGAAAATTATATTAAATTAGAAATAACTAAATTTAAACTTGTACAACAATTATCAATGCTGTGTCATTTTTTTAGGCAGTAAGCGCATTCACCTGTTGAAATCGTTAAAACTTTTTCATGTTTTAACTATGAATGTCCTTGTCTTGGAAATCTTGAATGTGTGGTTTTCAATAATAATAGTTGCCAACATAGTTACTAAATTTCTGACTTAAAAGAAAACAAACTTTACTTGATTCTCACGCCCTCATAAACCCCAGGTCCAACAATATTAAGTAAAATTTCAATTAGTAACTTTCATATAGGATTTTAATGGACGTCGTTCAGGTTAGTTGCGAATTAAACAAACTAAAAGCTTTAATTGGCTAAAAAGCAGCATGAACCAGGAAAATATCGAGCTCGAAAAACTTCAACCAGAGTTCGTGTTTGAAACTTTTTCTCAAAATCTAATATAAGCACAGAAAAAGCACCTACTGGCAACATCATTTTTCACTCTTGCTCAACTTGTGTCGAACTACTAACGCCTCTCGGGCATTCGAAAGTTTCAGCGTTTTGATTGAACTAAATCTAGACAAAATGGATTTCGGTTCGAACTTACCCAAAAGTCATAAAATTGTCGGATACTAGTTTTCATTAGAAAAGTATACTCTCTTGAGAAATTGAAAAATATCACTGAGAAACTTTGTAATTAAGTTTTGACTGATTGATACATCCAAACCCCCAATGACAACTAATTTTCTCTTTTTTTTTAGCACACACAGAAAAACTTTCTTCATTAGAAAAATTTCCCTTGTGGCTGAAACGCCCCCAGGTTCACATATTTACCTTGTACGGTTTTAATTCCATTTTTGTTAATATTTCAGCCTTGGAAAGTGAGTTTCCCGAGCCAAAAAAATCAATCAACATGAAAATCCTATCGTATTTCAAAGAGAATCCGACCGAGAGTCTTGTCGAATGTATCTAAATTTGTCAGATGAAATCCCAAAAGAATTGAAATACTATTTTATCTTCATATATAAGAAAAGCCCTTTTTGAGATGGATAAAAAAAAATCAATGTGCGAGCTTTAATGAAAAAGTTCATTGAACATTAAAAGTGCTTTCTAACGTCCCACCAGAACTATTGCATTAACGAAATTTCCCATGCGGCACGGATACATTTTATGCTCGATGGAATACCAGGTTATTATTATTTTTTTCCTCGTTGATAGCTTTAAAATTTATACAGGGTGACTCGGAGTAAATTTACCCAACTTGATATTTGTGAGGGAGGGTTATTAGTAAAACATGGAGCAGTGGTCGAACGAGCAACGCACGTTTATGGTCATTGAATAGGTTGTTTTCTGATTCAACAAGAGCCACTAATAGTTACGATATACACAAAAAAAATAGGACTTCATACAAAATGTGTAATTAAAATTAAATAAACTAAAATGCTGTATGTGTGTGTGTTGTATTTCGTTTTGGGGAGGTTAACTTTCAACCTGCGGTTGGTGCCGCACCCGCGTCCAAAGTTTTAAAATTATGAACTTCGCGAAGTAGTTACTTAGCCTTACACTGTGATGTCGGTAACAAAGTGGTCGGAAAGTTTCGCAATTTAATCTGCAGGTCACGCCATAAAGCGTTCCTCTCTTTTTCGGGACAACTGTCGAGAGAATTAATATTTTCAAAGTGGCAAGTGAAGCATTTTTATTCCTATCCCTGTACGAATAAATCCGTGCTTAAATTATTACTTCGCTGGAACTGGCAGATCCTTACTAGCGAAGAACATCCTGGAAACAATCCAATAAAGATTTGTGGTCGCTGTTAAGACCTCGCAATTATTTTTATATCAAAGTTGGGCGGTTTTATCGTTCGATTTTATTTTACGTTTCCTTAGATTTACAGTTCAATTGGAAGAGTATAGGAGATTCCGGAAGATTTGCAACCGGCTGTTTTATTTATGTGTTATTGTATTATATACCAGAGACGGTCCAATACATTCAAATTACATTTCGTAAGATTGATTTATAATAATTGTACATACAAGGATTCATCTACTGGAAGAATTACTTTGCCTATACCTTTATTTTACCTCAAGAAATAATGTATTGGAAGTCCTCACCTATATCTTGTTTGCGTTTCAAGAAAAACCTAGGAAAACCTTTTGAAAATTTGGTGCCCGAGCAGGGACCTTTTTGCGCATCAGCAACTGACCGTAAAGATTACGTCATCATCCGTCTCCCGTGTTGTGACCTCCAATTCGAGAATTGATGCAGGTTTTCCTTACGACAAACTAGGTTTTCTTTATTTCGCGCCCGAAAGATTTAGTCGTTGGCTCTCTCTTTTCTTTCTTCGTGCTCGTAAGCAGCTCACACCAACAATACTAGGGGGGCTCGTTCACTGGCCGCCTAAAGCGATGAGGGTATTGTCAGCCTGATACACGATCTAAGTGCAGGGTAGGCAAGTCACCACATTTCTGTCAAGAATAATGAGAGGACTTTTAGATGCTACTATGTATACTCCTTGCGACAGTTTTCATGTAGAGATGGGAAACATCGATTTCAGAAGGTGAATGAAGTCAATTGGAAGGACGTATACCCGCTCTCATTTACTGATGCAATCCAGACATAGATCAGTTTTACTTTCTCCCTGCTGAGGCATGGGTCTATTCCAATTCCGAGTAATGCCGTTTGAACTTCATTCTGTCCCTGCTCGGGGGCCAAATTTGTAACGGGTTTTCCTAGATCCCAAGCTAGAGCAGATTTTGCGAGGAGAATACTGAGATGAGGCAGCATCGTCGTCTTTTAGATGACACTATACTACTACCCTTAGGACACCAACCTCAAATTCGAGGATTGATTCAGGTTTCCCTGGGTTTTCCGAAAACCTTATGTCGCGCCCGCAGAATTTAATCGTTGGTTCTCTCTTTTCTTTCTTCCTGCTCGTACCAACAATACTAGGGGGGCTCGTCAACTGGCCGCCTTTAGCGATCTCGATAGTGAGAGGACCAACACGAAGTATTGTCAGCTTAATACACGATCTAAGTGCCGGGTAAATAAGGTATGTTCTACGATTATATTGGAGCCAGCCTTTAGAAAAAAATTATAGAACAAGAGGAATTCATCGAGATAACCGACCAGCCAGAAATATTAAAATATCCGCAAATATTTGTTGACGATATGGGGAAAGTGGACATTTTAGGACGAAATGCAGGTAGAAAAACCGGAAACTGAAAAGGTGCATTACTCCGCAATTAATTTGCTCAACCCTGAACCGATCAAGCAAAGATACCGTCCGCAGAATCTCAAAATGCAAGAAATATTCTATATGAACGTCAACCAGATGCTGAAAGCTGGCATCATTGAGCCGTTTGATAGTCCTTGGAGTTCACCAGTTTTTATAGTCTGAAAGAAAGATGGGAAAGACCGATTTCAGAAAGTGATTGCGGTCAGTCGGAATGACGCCCCCATTTACCAATGTAATCCTGGATAAACTAAGACAAGCCCGTTATATTACCAGTATTGACCTCAAGCAAGGCTATGGCTGAAGATAGTGAACCAATTACCGTTTTCAACGTACCAGGCATGGGACTATTGCAATTCCGAGTAATGCCGTTTGGACTTTATTCTGTCCCTGCTCGGGCGCCAAATTTGTAACGAGTTTTCCTAGATCCCAAAATTTCTGGGATGTAACGGCAGCATCGTCATCTCGTTGTCTTTTAGATGGCACTATGCTACTCCCTCAGGACACCAACCTCCAATTTAAAAATTGATACAGGTTTCCCTTACGACGAACTGGGTTTTCCGAAAACCTTATTTCGCGCCCAGAGGATTTAATCGTTGGCTCTCTCTTTTCTTTCTTCGTGCTCGCACCAACAATACTAGGGGGGCTCGTCAACTGGCCGCCTAAAGTGTCCCGATAATATACGATCCAAGTGCAGATTAAGCAAGTCACCACACTTCTGTTGAGGAAAATAATGGCGCTTTTAGATGCTACTATGTATAGTCCTTGCGACAGTTTTTATGTACTGTTACCGAATCTGTAAAAACGAAATGTCTAGACTTCTTGTCACTATATTTGAAGAACTGACTTACATCGATTAAATGCGATTAACCGGTCGGTCATAGTTGACAGATAACCAATGAAGCAAATGCCATTTGTCAACCAATCGATATTAAATGACATTCATGACCTTTGACTTTGAATATCTGAAAACGCAAGCCCGATATTGATGGGGATTTCAAAGAGATTATTTCTTGAGGTAAAATAGAGGTATAGACAATATAACTGGGGTATTGTGGAAGGTCCCTTTTTGCCCGGCAGGTGAAATTATTTTAAATTAGAAAAGGCAAACGCTCTATAGTATATTAAAATAGATTAAATACATCCATCTAAGTTGGTGTTGCAAGGACGCGCTCGTGCCCTGTATTTAATTAAAATGCGGACAAGGAAATAATGGACGCAATTACTTAAATTTTCGCCTGCCGAGAGTGAGGATAATTTTCGAAATTACCAGGCAACACAAATGCTGGAAATAATGCGCCCCCAGGAAAAAGAGCAGCGCTAATTTCTTAAAAGGTTTTCCCTCGGAGGATGATTAATTTTAAAAGCACCCCGAGATGGTCCTATTTCTTTTTTTTTTAACGATCAAATTAGGACCCAATTAACTAATTTTTTTTTTGGCTTTTGTATGGGTAAATAAAGCCGACCTAGACAGTGTAGTGGTTAGTGTATCTGCTTCTGAGTTCTCGTCTATACGTCGAACCATATAGTCGAACGCTTAATATAGAGTCAGATACGCCAGAAGGTACGCCGAAAAAGTTGGGGCACCAACATAATACACCGTCCGAAAACCAAGTAAGGGGACGTCGACTTGTACTGTTCTGTACCACAAGCACCGACAAAAAGTAAGGAAAAGTGCCTAAGTAATAAGTGAATTAAAAACGGTGTTTTTCAATGTTTTTCCCTGTAGAACGTAACTCCAACTCCGAGCACCCCCTTACTTTCGAGCAGGCCGATATATCGGCCCAATGGTATTTGCCATTCATGCCATTCATGGTATTTGCCAGCGATTTTGAGTCATATGTGAGGGCAACCCGAAAACGTCGAGAGTAGTTTTCAAGCAAAGATAGGAACTCTATTACCAGAACATCGGCAAACAGGCGCGCATGTGGCAAGAGCATGCTGCGCCTTGCAGCAAGAGCATGCTGCGCCTTGCAGCAAGAGCATGCTGCGCCTTGCAGCAAGAACATGCTGCGCCATGCTGAGTGTGTAGTTTTTAAGTAGTCCTTTCCTAGTTTTAAGTAATATGGATATTTGTAGTTTAAGGGGGCCTAACCTCCCTGCATATCAATTGTTTAAATAAAGAATTTGAGTTTGAGTATCTGCTTCGCATGCTGCGGGTTCCAGGTTGGATTCCCGGCTAGGGTATGGTTGTTTGTGGGTGTTGGCTTGGCGAGAGCATGTGGTAAATAAAACACAAAGGTTACACAAAATAAGATAAGCTTTATTTTACACTTGAAATTGATACACATTTTTGTTAGATATATATATATCATTATTCTCCATAGAAAGCTAATATAATTTATAATGGAATAATTGCAGAAAACTTTTGTAAAAACACTTTTTAATGATTATTATTGACAATAAATTTTTACAAAAAATTTCAAAGCAGAAAAATTACAACTTTAATACAATACAATACAAATTTTACACTTATCAAAGGATATGTGGCAATAATATTTACAATATCACCGATTTATGAATCGACATTTTCAAACCAACTAAATTGTTTTATCACCTTGGATCGTCATTAATATTGTCTTAATAATTCATTTTACTGACCACTGCTAAAGGTGGTCCCTTTTAAAACAAATTTTTGATAATTTGTTAGGCCTCAGTGTCTTTTTAGGCCAATTGTTTATGCACACCATATACTTACATATTTACAAATTAATTGGCAAATTCTTACAATGATAATAATTAAAAATTTAAACAACAGTCTTACAGAGCTACATTTATTATTTATTATAAAAAATATCATTGGAATGGGTTTTATATGTACCTACTATGTATTGTGTGGATACTAGTTTTTACGATGCTTTTGGGATAAATTTGATTTTGAATAAGGTCTACAAAGCTTTGTAGATTTCCTGCCGGAATTTTATATAGCAATCAAATGCCGGGAATAAATAAAATTTAAAATTCATAGTAACATGTTTTGATGAGGCCTACATATAAGTCAACTCCTGGACTACTATTAACATAATTTTGAAAACTCTTATCCTAAATCAATGTATAAGATGTCCAATTTCCAAAATTCAAACCTTAATTATTCTCGGCTTTTGATAAGACGTATAATAAATAAAATAAAACATCGCTCACTAGTATTTTTTGATTAAGATAATCGCACAATTCCTCAAACAAATTCAGGCAAATCCTTCGCATCATCCAGCTCAGCCTCACTATTATACACAATATACTCGGCATCCAACCTCTCACCGCTAGCCTTATCTATCACATAACCCTTGTACTTCCTGACGTCCTAGGGTCAGGTCATGATGCCGTACAATCGGTGCAAGTTTGTCAGAGTGGTCTCGTCGTCCGGCTGCAGCCTCAGGGCCTTCTTGTAGCTGTGCTCCGCCTCTTTGTACTTACCGTTCAGATGGAGCATCGCTCCTAGGTTCGTGTGCCCTCGAGGATCCTAGGCAAAAAGAATTTCATTATTATTTCTTAGCGATAAAAGAGCATACTTAGCAAAATGAAACCATTTAAATGGAGGCGAAATTTAAAATAATTGGGCAACGTTTTAAACGGTGGGGCCGGGAATTAAAAGAAAATTAAGTTTAACGAGTCACTATTGTTGTTGTTGAGTTTTTTTTTTTTTTTTTGGGTGCGAAGCAATTACGGAAAGTAATTAGGGCTCTATTACGTTAAAGGCCATTGTGGATTGCTGCTAGTTTTTTAAATGCAAATTATACTGGCGCAACTAATTTATTCTTTGAGCAAAATGGAAAAGTTCATTCTGAGATCGCAAAGTTCTCAACCATCTTAGGGTGACATTGGTGGATGTAAGAGAATCTTCGCAGTTTGATCTTTCGAAGTTTGCGCTGGTAAATATGGACGGCATGATGCGAGCATTGGACCATTATATACAGTGTCATTACTTAAGTGTGCAACATATGGGATTTTTTTTTAGTAATAGCACAATCAAAATACAAACAAGGCCAAAAGTTGGTACATGTCTGATAATCATATTAGGTGCACTCAGAATGGTTGCAAGTCAGTTGTAAGACATTTACTGGACAACTGTATAAGTGTACGTACCTACTATTCATAACTATGAAACTAGGAATGCGGATAACTTTTATATAACAAGAATGTCCAGAATATCGGACCAGAAGAATTTGTTTCATAAAGGACTGAAACTGTATAACGAACTGTCAAAATCTACAACAGTTTAGAAAAAATTATTTGTAACATGTGAAAGACACTATTGTAATTTATCATTTAGAAATAATTATTTTATACATTGTATTAGAATTTTTGCTACTAATAAATTATTTATTTATTATTATTATAATATTTAGAACACGCAGGAACCGCCTTCAGCGGTTCCAAAACCGGATTCTCAAGGGAATCCTGTGTGAATCCATGTAAGCCAGATCTCTATATCTCTGACTACCTAGGTCCTAAAGGAAGTCAGCGACAAATTTTACAGATTTCAAATCCAGGGTTCCCCACTCACTAAATTTGATCCAGATAACCCCATAATGCAAGCACCACCGTATAAGAATTTATCAATCTATTTTAAACCCCCTTGAATCCTGGTAAATTCTGGCATATAACTCTTTCAACCATCATTTTCTGATATCTCCCACAAACTTCCCCACCTGCATCAGAGCCATTACCTGTGGGGTACCACGGGTGGTTACGTGGTTCCAGAATGCCATTTTTAAATATACTGCCCTTTTGCCCGTTCTGATTTTGTATTACCTTGGGATTTTGAATTAACATAATAAAACCCTCATTTTGTGACTCGAACGCGCCCACAAAAGTCAAAATATATTATAAGGACCACTCTACTATGCGGCAAAGTGTGTTTCGGGCCTTATTTACACGCAAAATCTTCGAAATCATACCCTCTAAATATTTACTATTTAAAAATCCATTGTCGATTAATTTACATTTTTTTTTTGCCTGATGTTTACGTTGAGTTTATCTTGTTTATTCAAGAAAGATCGGAAGATGTTGGCATGTAATTCGATGTCTCCGGCTGTTTTCTGGAAATTTTTCGGCATTTTCAATGTGGAAAAGTGTTCGTTTGTAGCGTTTGGGGCACACAAAAATCTCCAAGATCAGAAATTTCCTGCTGAGTCAACGCAATTTCATGAATATTTACTATTTTTGTTGTTTGTGAGTAGTTTGTGATTGCTGTGTATTAGGCTCAATATTAATTTTTTCTTTATTCTTATGATTTCTCTTTGTTCTAGGTTGAAAGTACTGGCCAGCAAATTTGATGGTAAGTGCTTAGTTATATTTTCTTTTTCCTGAGGTGAATCTGAGGCTCAGAAATGAAATTATAATGGTTTGTTTTCAATCTCAATGTTATAAAAATTCTTGTTTAATCTTATTTGAGAGCCTTCTGAGCAATCAGAGCGATTCTAAACTCTCAGGATTCATTAATTAGGGCCTTGTTAATAAGGAAAACAAACGAGAAGTGAATCTGAGACTCAGAAATGCAATTATGGCTTGTTTTTAAATGTCAATGCTGAAAAATTTGTAAAATTCTTGCTCCATCCTCTTTGGAAGCTTCTGAGCAAAGGGTCTGTTAAGGAGTTTCTTATAATTTTACTTTTATTCAATTTCCCTAATTATTATAAGACCAGATATGGCAACTTCGCATTTATAAAAATATATCTTGTTAACCTCTAAAGGTTCTGTCATTGTCTGTGGGAGCAGGACCACAAGAGGTGCAACAGGTCGCTAAATTTTGATAGTTCTCGTACTTCCTGCTCAAGCAGCAAGTCGCACGTCGCATGCTATTTTGGTGTGAATATTCACTTAGATGCAATAAAATCCAGTGGCGTAACTAGGATTTTTAGGCTTTTGAGCAGAAATTTTTTAAGGTCCCCTCCCACACTTGAGTTGATGCGGTACATCGAAAGAATCGAATCACTAAAACTTGACATCGAGATGAAACTGGTTAATTATTAAATACAGGAGAATATAAAATATAATTTACATCTCCCCTTAGCAAATTTAAAAAATAAATGGAATAAATCTACAAATTTAGTTTATAAGGATGGGTTTGATTATTCTTCCAGAGTTTGTCCGTCTTTGTTCGGAGTAATTTTGTCCAATTAGAGTTTCTGGTAGACCATTTGAAGTTTCTTCAACTAGTGATTGATTATACTCCTGATTTTCTGGACTGGTAGGCGAATCTCCTATTCTATAGTTCTGGGGTTGAGTGACATGTCTGCATAATCTTTTTCTTTTTTTCTCAATCTTTTCAGTTGATTTGTGACATCCCTATCCAGACATATTTGGTAGATATGAATTTATTCAAATATGTTATCATGCCTAGCAATCTTTGTAGTTCTGGTATATTTGTTGGTGTCTAAGTTTTTGATAGCCTCCACCTTGGTATCATCAATTTCAATACCATTTTCCGATAGAATATGCCCAAGAAATTTACCTCTTTTAACATTGAAAATGCATTTTTCCTTATTGAGTTTCAATCCAGAATTTTCCAATGTTTCCATTACATTTTTAGTAATTTTTTCATAACCTTTCTGGGAGTCGGAATAAATAAGAATACCGTCGATTAAGCAGTGAGTATTTGGAATGTTTTTCAACAAGGAACTCATTATTTTTTGAAATACCTCTGGTGCAGAATAGATTCCAAATGGTAGACGAGTGCAACTATAACGCCCCTATAGATATTTTTGAGACCGCTCTGCAACTTTTATTTGCCAAAACCCTCGTTTGCAATCTAAAAGTGTAAAATATTTGGCTCCACGTATTTGTGCTGAAATTTCTTCTATGATTTTCAGTGGATAATATCTTTGTTAACATCTGTAGGATCTATGCAGATTGTCAATTTACCTTTGTGCCTAATAGTTATTAACAGACTGAATGGAGTAGGAGTAGGTTGTGTAACGGGCTTAATGACACTTAACTTAAACATATTTTTCAATTCTTTTTTCACTTCACCCTGTATGGCAAATGGTATTTTTTTGCAGGCCTTATTTCAAACTTTGGATTTTCTATGGAATCAATATTGTATTCATAATTTATCAAACAAGCCAATCCTTGAAAAATGCTATCATTGGACTTTGTTGTCTCGCAGGAATGTACACGTACAATTAAACGGATAGAGGAATGGAGTTTTTCACACGCTAGGCAACCTCTGAAAATAGAGTTTTTCTACAACTGTCAAAAAATGATGATGTTTGCACACTGATGACAATTTGCGAAATGACACTTTTTTTCCAAGGTATGGGTTACGCTCCCCACACGCTGCTTATTAGTTTTCTATTTATTTTGATCCTATCATCCTGACATGACTATAGCAATGACATGGTAGCAATTAGATCTTGTTGTAATTGTTTATTAAAAATATCCAAAATCAATCTATTTCGAAGTGTTATATCTAAAGGAATTTGATCCTTAATGAAGCCACAGGAACTAGCCAAACCTTTTAATTCTTCAATGTAATCAGCCATTGATTCATTCTAGAGTAGAATAAATGCCGGGCACATTTCTTTTTGGTTCAAAGCAAAGATCAAGTAAATTAAAAATTTCTTCCAATGATTTTCCAATAACACTTACAAATAAAGCTTTCTTTTTGTCAGGATCCTTAATTTCATTTGCTTGAAAATAGAAATTTAGTCTTTCCTTGTAAATAATCCATGAAACACTTTCTGGATAAAAGTTTTCCAAACAAAGGCATTATGTATTTAGATTCTAGTACCGACTGCGCCAATGTTAAATATTGCCTTATTTCAATTTTTAACAATTGACGAAGTCAGCGAAAAACTTTACAGGTTTCAAATCCACGGCTTTCCACTCACGCACAACTTCACTGCGACATACATTCTTATAGTGCACGAACCACCGTATAAGAATTTACCAATCTATTTTAAACCTTTTTGAATCCTGGTAGATTCTGGCATATAACCCTTCCAACCCTTATTCTCTGACAAACTTTGCCACCTGCATCAGAACCATTACCTATGATCCTTCAGATCAAAGGATTGACTATGATGCAGGGCTGTCAACTTTTTTAAACAAAACCCGCACACCTGCGCACACACCCTCAAGCTAACTTTTTCATGCCTGACAAGGCACATCCTTTTTCTTTTTTGTTACAAAAGTGTAGTTTCAACATTTATTTTTCTCCACAGAACGGGCGCTGCGCACTTTTTAATCCCAACTCAGAGCATTCACCCACTATTTTTGGGTAGGCCAGTGAAATGACCCAATGCTTGCCATCCGTGGTAGATACCAGCGACTTCAGGGTCATATGAACAAAAAATCAAGAAATAAATTTTCAAAATCAAAGAAATTCTTGACAGTATTTCGAATCAAAGATTTTGTGTTTTTACCAAAGTATTACTCTGACACGGTCAGATTTATGTAATAGGAGCGGTTCTGCTATTATAAGACAATGAAGAAACCCGAATTCTCAATCATTGGGCACTATACCATCAATTTCAGACCGGTTTCGAGCTTGTTAGGACACTAAAAAGGACAGTTACCCAATTCCTTGACAATTCACGTAATGCCCGATATCTAAGTGGCATAGTTATAAAATCTGCCTTTTGGCAAGTACCACTTTGTTCCGAATCTCGTGAACTGACTGCTTTTACTGTGCCTGGACGAGGATTATTTCAGTTCTGTAGGATGCCTTTTGGATTAACCAATGCTCCAGCAACTTGGCAGCGCATTGTAGATAATGCTTTGAGAGCGGATCTCCATTTTTTTCTTTAAGTAGTGCAATATAGGCGAAAGCACACAGCTTACAGAAACCAGTCTGCAATTGGTGGTAGTGCCCAATGATTGAGAATTCGGGTTTCTCCATTGTCTTAAGCAAAACCGCTCGTATCACATAAATCTGACCGTGTCATAGTAATATAAACTCATAGTATAAGTTAGTGAATTAACAGTGTATTGAAGTTTTGATAAAAACACAAAAAAAAATTCGTTAACTTGAGTTTAAGTTTGATGCTTCCAGATAATGATTATATACAAAAGATGGCTGAATTAGTCAATATATTGACAAGTCAACTTACAGTTGGTTTCATCCTGACAGATTTCCTGTACCACAGTTCGGCTTCATCCTGTAGCCCGGCCTTTCTCATAGCTGTAGCCGCCGCTACAGCCAACTCGAAGTCTTCGGGCGACAGTTCGGCCGCTCGTTCGTACATGCTGGCCGCTTCGCTGTAGCGCCGATTGATGACCAGAAAAGCTCCTGCAACAAAATTCAACCGGGATCAATTTCACGGGGTCCAGATTCAATTTGCAAATTTCGTAGGGATTCTAAGGTGTCTCCTCTGGTAATTTAATAATAAAGGGTCCTGCAGGCAAGAAGGGACTGTATTGATTCCTGGGGCTAGGCCGCAATTAGGGCTTGTTTTTAGTACAGGGATTTGTGTCAGTGAGTTTATTAGGGGACTTACAATAATACGTTTTCATGAGACTTATTTCTCTCACAGCCGTTATATGAAGAATTATGAAATATAAAAGTCGTAAAATTTTATTTGCTTCGCCGAAATGTGAAATCTCCATATATGTATTTATTAGCTTTGAAAATAATATTCTCAAAGGAGTAATATTTTATTGGCTAACATCATTTTTTACTTTTCCTGCAGCACGAGTAGAGAACCATAAATCACACACATGCTGTACAACACGAGAGCCAAAAAGCTTTCTATACTAAACAGGTAAAAGTTTATCGATGAAAATATTATAGCAATCGCGTTAAATCAGCTTCAAACTACTTCCAGGAAAATTAAAGCTCACTCTCGTTTAAAATTGCTTTTAGCACGAAGTCTACTTAGATAGCAGAGCTTTTCCTGGGTATTACTCGAAAAAGTTATGATTTCTTTGTGCCACTACCTCTTAGGAGATTATTTCTTTTTTTAGTTTAAAATTATTTGGAGACACGGTTACATGCTGGGGGAAATTAAATACCTCCGGAGCACGCGATATCGATAAATTCCACTTTCAACAAGGGAATGCAAAATTCAATTATAAAATTATTAAGATTATTCCTGCAAAATTGCAATTTCCTTTTCGGCAATAAAAAGGATTCGCACGTATTCGCCCCTACACATTTAGCGGAAAGATTTTTATATTAGACGAACGCCGTGCGGAATCGCAACTAGCCCTGGACATTATTAGAAACGAAATGGGAATTTGTCCTTGTTGTTGTTTTTCCATCGAAATGATTCGTGGCTGGTGAGTTGGCGTGCGCAAAATGTTGAGAGTTGTCGTGTCGGAGTTCGGTTACCCAAGACCCCGGTTTCGTGTCGAATTAGAGTAAGTTGGAGGTGTCTTCGAATCATCATGAAGTTTTGATGTCACTGTTGAACTTTATGTTTTTTACCGGCTTCAGAAACTGCGATTCAAAAGCTGGTAATAATCAACATTTGACTATCATCATCAATATAGGCCAGAGGCGCCGACTATGTGGGTGCTCGGGGGCTCGAGCACCCACGAACATAGATTTAAAAACTGATAATCCTCTCTAGTTCCTGGAAAACTGGTTAATTTTGTACCTCGGGTTCCTGAAATCTGGTTAACCAAATGTCAATATAGTTACCGGCCATCGGATGTCGGTTCTGTTGGTTTTATCAAGGTTTTATCTGTAACTTTTGTCAATTATGTTTTATTTCCATATTTCCGTTTCCCAAAGTAACCGGAATTTTCAGTAAACATCTGTTGACCTCGTCGGTTACTTTAGTTCTGTTCCAGCAGACATGAAAACCTTTCTAGAACGGTAATTTCCAGTCGATCATTCCATTTGTCAATTAGGAAAAACGTTCAACTTATTGAAAAATAGGTGGGCAACTGGAAATTATTGGTTCTGGAACTGTTCTCATGTCTGTTGGAACAGAGCTAATGGTTAACGTTTGGTTATATTTGGACCATAGCCTTATATAGGTTATGTTCCGATATTAACTCTGTCAGTACTGAATTTACTGCACGCCGTTCCGATATTATTTTCAGTAGGTACACTGGATTCAGACGATTCAGTACTGAATGACCACAAGAGTACCCTGTTGAAATTGGAACGGCAAATGACAGTAAAATCAGCACAGTAAATCCAGTACTGGCAGTTGATATCAGAACATGGTGGTACTTTGTTTAGAAGATGAAGAAAATCAGAAATCTTTTATGAAGAACAGCGTCAAACGCAGATTTTCGGTACATGCTGCTTGGAAAAGAATATCTGCAGGAGAGTTTTCCACACTTTACAGTAGAGTGTGACCAATACCCACCTCTACTACGTAAAAACTCCTCTCCAGCACAGCCATCATACCACTAAAGTTCGCCTTAGTCTAGCACTATGGAAAGAATGCGGATAAAAAAATTGCAATATTGCCTATTTGACTTCCAATAAGAAATACCTTAATATTTATTTATATTATACTCCTACATTTATAAGGAAAAAGTAATATTCAAAAACGTTGCACGCACGCCTATGACAAGCAGCATAAAGCTCGAAATAAATGGCGTTATGTCCCCTTGCTCTTCAGACGTCATAGTGCTAGACTCGTAAAGCGAAGTTTACCCACCTCCACTAAACCCCTTCCGTGAAGCTCCTACCCTGAGGAAGCACTTTTAACCCACCTGCACTGTAAACCCTCTTCCGTAAAGCTGTCCATTAATCTATTTTCAAAAGGCTCTTACCCTGAGATGGCACTTTATTATATCCCTTCACTTTCTTGAAAACTAAAGAATATTTAACCAATTCTTCCATTTGTATTCGAATTCGTCAATTTTGAGGTTGGCCCGGGTCAAATCCCCAAAATTTCAGATCAAAAGCGCCGCCGATCTAGAGATTTTCCCACGGTATCGAAAAACTTCCCAGGCTCAAGTGCTCCCGGCTATCAGACCAATACCCACCTCTACTACGTAAGTAGTCCACCAGATTCACAAGCAAAATGTTATTATTGCAATGGAGTTTAGAAGACTATTGACGAATACAAATGCAGGAATTGTTGAAATATTCTTTAGTTTTCAAGAAAGTGAAGGGGTATGGAAAGAGGTACCTCTCCAGAGTAGAAGCTTTTTGATGTAGTGGAGGTGGGTATTGCTCTGATAGCTGTGAGGTGGGTATTGGTCATAAACAGGTGCATTAATTTTATTGCAATAATAAATATTTTGCTTGTGAATCTACTAGTCTGATAGCTGGGGGCACTTGAGCCTAGGAAGTTTTTCGATACCGTGGGAAAATATCTAGATCGGCGGCGCCTTTTGAAAATAGATTAATGGTGGGCTATTATGGCTATGCTGGAGGGGGGCTTTTACGGGGTAGAAGTGGGTATTGTTCTGATAGCTGTTAAAACACTCTGCTCTTTACCCTTATAGCCGTCCTTTTTTTCCAATTTTAGCAGATACCGCAAAAAACTTACGCAAGCACCAAGCAATATTAGTTCCCGCAGCTGGAAAACGAATATGGAAAGGTGTGAATTATGTTGTTTGAAATGTATTACCATTCCCTTCTTAGACACTCGTCCGAATGTAAATTAAAGAATGCTGGTAAACGTTTTTGGGCGCCCCTGATATAGGCGATACCAGGAAGGGGGTAATTGATGTGACACTAACTAGCCTCAAATCATATGAGTAATTACGTCACAAACTGGCATGTATCTCATAGGGCAAGTTGTTTGGATCACAGATACCTCAAATTTGAAATTTCGGGGGAAATAACTTCAGTAAATTATCGGAACCCTCGAAATACAGACTGGGACGCATATAAAGCTGACCTGGGCTGCGTTCAGGAATGGCTATAGCCAAGCCAAAATTGGCATTTTGCGTTCGAGTTCGGCTCCAACCTCGTGGTTCGGCATTACAGGTGGAGGGGGAAAAGTAGGTTTTGGCATTAGCATTGCCGTCCTTGAACGCACCCCAGGAGACCAGTCTGCCGAACATCAGGCAGACAATTTGAGACATTCAAGACTTGGAGATGGTTGTGGATCAATTCAATGATACAATTGCCCACTTACAACAGGGAAGTGCTTAGATGCCGGATTATCGTCTAAAAGAGTAGAGCTTATTAGAGTTACCCCTCTACGGGGCACCGTTTTTGAGAAAATGGAAACTTTCAATACATTTTCAGAGAAATTCCAACTTTGACGGCTGATATCTCGGAGACAGCAACAACCTGGAATATCAATAAAAACAATTTTGTAGGGAATTTAATCCTCTTTCGAAAGAAACTTGACTCAAGAGAATCGGTTCAAAAGTACCCGAACTATAAGCAAAAATATGCCGCCATATCGGGTTCTCAAAATTTTTCAGGACCCAAATTTTTTTATTTTTTTGCGGGCTTAGGAAGCATCGGAGCGGAAAACGCCTGGAGATATTTTCGACGTATTTTTTGCTCCTCTATGCAAAGGTATTTTTGGTTTTTCAAAATTTGGAAAAATAAGTGCAGAGGACGTGTATGTCCCATTACACACCCTTTTTCAAAATTGGGGGCATAGGGGCTAAAACCCCTCCAGTAGGTCGTAGAGGGCTGAAACTTGGAATATCATCTTTTTTAGACCTCTTTTACCTACGTTCCGAATTTCGTCTGAATCAACCAAAAAAAAAAAATGTTCAGGAGCCTATTAAAGTTATCCCTCTTTGAGAAAATGGACTTCGAAACTTTCAATACATTTTCAGAGAAATTCCAACTTTGACGACTTATATCTCGGAGACAGAAACAACCTCAAATATCAATAAAAAAGGTAATTTAATCCTGTTTCAAAAGAAACCTCACTCATGAGAATCGGTTCAAAAACAACGAAGCTATAAGCGAAAACGTAGCGCCGTGTCGGGTCTCCAAAATTTTTCAGGATCCAAATCTTTTTTATTTTTTTGCGGGCTTAGGAAGCATCGGAGCGAAAAACGCCTAGATACATTTTCGACGTATTTTTTGCTCCTCTATCCAATAATATTTTTCATTTTTTGAAATTTGTAAAAGTAAGTGCAGGACGTGTATACCCCATTACACGCCCTTTTTCAAAATTGGGGGAACAGGAGCTAAACCCGCTCCGGTAGGTTGTAGAGGGCTGAAACTTGGAATATCAACTTTTTCAGACCCCCTATCGAATTTCGTCGGAATCGGCCAAAAAAAATTTTTTTAGGAGCTTTTTTAGATAGGGGCCCCCCGTATTTTTTTTCGATAAATCTCATGTTTCACTATATTCGTACCAAATTTTAGTTTGATAGGACCATCGGTTCGCCCTCACCGAATTT